TCTTTCTTTCTTTCTTTCTTTCTTTCTTTCTTTCTTTCTTTCTTTCTTTCTTTCTTTCTTTCTTTCTTTCTTTTTGTCTGTCTGTCTTCTTTCTTTCTCTCTTTCTCTTTCTTTTCTTTCTTTTCTCTTTCTTTTTTCTTTTTTTGACAGAGTCTCACTGTGTCACCAGGCTGGAGTGTAGTGGTGTGATCTTGGCTCACTGTGACCTCCATCTCCCGGGTTCAAGCAGTTCTCCTGCCTCAGCCTCCCGAGTAGCTGGGACTACAGGTGCCCGCCACCACGCCCAGCTAATTTTTGTATTTTTAGTAGAGACAGGGTTTCACCATGTTGGCCAGGATGGTCCCAATCTCTTGACCTTGTCGTGATCTGCCCACCTCGGCCTCCCAATTTTTTTTCTTTTTTTTTTTTTGAGACAGAGTCTCACTCTGTTGCCCAGGCTGGAGTGCAGTGGTGCGATCTTGGCTCACTGCAACCTCTGCCTCCCGGGTTCAAGTGATTCTCCTGTCTCAGCCTCCTGAGTAGCTGGGATTATAGGTGCCTGCCATCACACCCAGCTAATTTTTGTATTTTTAGTAGAGATGGAGTTTCACCATGTTGGCCAGGCTGCTCTCAAACTCCTGGCCTCACATGATCCACCCACCTCGGCTTCCCAAAGTGCTAGGATTACAGGCGTGAGCCACCGCACCCAGCCCATAGAAGCTTTCAGTTCATTTATGCAGTTTAAGCTGGGAAAGTGAAAGCCTAAACTCATCCCTTTCTTTCCCCACTTTCTCCAGCAACCAGTGAATATTATACTCCTCAGTTTAACTAAAATGTTCTTAGGTGTCATCAAACACATGGGCACCCAGAACCTTGCCTTTTATATGTGTTGGATTGAGAGTATCCAATGGTAATATTTTGTATATCTCTATTGCCACACCATGCCATGGAGTACCTAAATGCCCTCTTGGCCACTGGAAATAGATTTAAGATTCTGTTCCTGGCCGGGCGCGGTGGCTCAAGCCTGTAATCCCAGCACTTTGGGAGGCCGAGATGGGCGGATCACGAGGTCAGGATATCGAGACCATCCTGGCTAACACGGTGAAACCCCGTCTCTACTAAAAAAAATACAAAAAACTAGCCGGGTGAGGTGGCGGGCGCCTGTAGTCCCAGCTACTCGGGAGGCTGAGGCAGGAGAATGGCGTGAACCCGGGAGGCAGAGCTTGCAGTGAGCTGAGATCCGGCCACTGCACTCCAGCCTGGGCAACAGAGCCAGACTCCATCTCAAAAAAAAAAAAAAAAAAAAAAAAAGATTCTGTTCCTGTCTTCTAGTACCAAAATTTGTATCAGTCAGCATTCCATGAGAGAAACAGAATTAGGAGGAGGATATGTAGAGTACTAAGAGATTTTTTTCACTTTTTGTGGGTACATAGCAGGTGTATGCGTTTAGGAGGTACATGAGGTATTTTGATACAGGCATGCTGTGCATAATTACCATGTCAGGGTGAATGGAGTATCCAACACCTGGAACGTTTATCCTTCATGTTATAAACAATCCAATTATATTCTTTTAATCATTTTTAAGGTGCAATTAAATTATTATTGACTGTGGTCACCCTACCGTGCTATCAAATACTAGGTCTTATTCATTCTTTTATTTTTTGTACCTGTTAACCATCCTTACTTCTCCCCCACCCCCACGACTCTTCCCAGCCTCTGGTAACCATCCTTCTACTCTCCATCTCCAGGAGTTCAATCGTTTTAATTCTTAGCTCTCAGAAATGATGAGAGCATGCAGACTTTGCCTTTTTGTGCCCGGCTTATTTCACTCCACATCATGACTTCCAGTTCTATGTATGTTGGTGCAAATGACCATTTTTTGAATGGCTGAATAGTACTCCATGGTGTAAATGTGCCACATTTCCTTCAGCCATTCATCTGTGGAGGGACTGTTAGGTTGTTTCCGGATCTTGGCTATTGTGAATAGTGCTGCAATAAACATGAGAGTGCAGCTACCTCTTGGATACATGGATTTCCTTTCTTTTGAGTAGATACCCAGCAGTGGGATTGCTGGATTGTCTGGTAGCTCTAGTTTTAGTTTTTTGAGGAACCTCCAAACTGTTCTCCATAGTGGTTGTACTAACGTCCATTCCATACATTAGCAACAGTGTATGGGAGTTCCCTTTTCTCCACATCCTCGCCAGCATTGGTGATTTCCTGTCTACTGGATATAAGGGATAATTCTTCCCCAGAGCTTCTGAGGGGCTGCAGCCCGGCTAACACCTCAGTTTCAGACTCTGGCCTCCAGAATGTGGCAGAATAAATTTTTGCTGTTTTAAGCCACCCGGTGTGTGGTGATTTGTCATGGCAGCCCTGGGAAACGAGTACATGGCCACGCAATCTTTCTCTGATACTTTGAGTCTCGAGGGTACATGAGATGGATTGGGCTGGGCCCAGGGCCACTGCAAGGCGTGGGAGAGTGTGTTTAGGGAATCAAGGGACGTAGGTCATGGCCCTGGTGCTTGTGGTCAGCAGGTTCGCAGATTCCTGGGGGCAACTGTTGGGTCTGAAGGGTTCCTGGCTACCTTCTCCAT